CCCCCCCACACACACACACACACACACATATTTATAACCCAATTTTTAGCTGAGATCTGACAATTTCATTCATTCTGACATGGAAAATATTAAACACTACCATTTTCAGCCACAAGAGGGCCCTCGAGCAATATGGCAACTCCAGGAGCAAGCGTCAAATCAACTGCATTTCGCCGCGCCGCCCAGGCGAAATGCAGTTGATTTGACCATTAAAGTGCATTTATTAAGGAAATGTTCAACTGAGACACACCTTAGCTATAATGCCGAGCGAACAAATAATTGTTTTTAAGTGTTAATCTTGTTAAAGTTTTAGTAACATCCTCCCGTGCACGCTCCCACGGCTACCATTTGGCAGCCAATCGATTTTTTTGGCACAACACCGACCCATGTTTCCGGGTAGTCAGCGGAGACGCCTAATAGATGCAACTTATACGGCAAAGCGATGCATTTATGTTTGTTCCCACTTTATTAGGCATTTTTGGACTTATGCGACCTATATGGCAGTAATTACGGTAAATAACCCTGTAAAAGAATGTTTTAACTGTTGTCAAGGCATGTGCATTTTTTCAAGTTTTTACCTGTTTTTTGTGTGCATAAAAGTCCACGTTCTAAATGCTTAATAGATGCAAAATTATGATGTAAACCAATATTTGGCGGCATTTATTTGGGTGGGTAAACACTGGAATAGCTCATAACAATTCTGACACTATGACATCATCATATAGGACTTAAGGCTTTATCAAATCTTGTTTTATTGGCTTTAAAAACGGGATCACTGTTAAAGTTTGTCTTGTCTAAGGAAGGCGTTGGGGTGAACGGTAAACCGAGCACGGGTGGGGCATGTCAAAGTAATTACACCTGGAAAAGCCAGGGTTTATGTATAATTATTCAACTGTGCACTCAGATACTGAAGAATGGATAAGACAAATAATTGCATTTGCTTATTTAAACGCTTTACAAAAAAGGTGCTGAGTAGAACAGATTAGCGACTCAGATTCAGAGATTGGGAGACGGAGAGGTTTAGGAGCAATAATGAGATAAAAAAAAAAAAAACATCAAACAGCTTATTTTCTAATGTGGAGGAAATGAAGATTTTTTTTTTTTTAACTCTAAGCAATTTTTAAATTCACACTGGATGCAAGAGATTAACTTTATAGAGTAAACAGAAGAATAAACATTATTTTTTAACATGTAATAATTCAATTATAATAAAATGCAGCGTAATAAATGGAAAAAAATGGATTCACTGTAATTTTTTTTTAAAGGCCATCTACAACAAACAGCATGACAGACCCAACTCATCCTGTTCATGAACTATTCAGCCCCCCCACCCCCCCAGCAGAAGTTTGTGCAGCCTCAAAGTTAAGAGGAACAGCTTCTTCCCTGAGGCTACAAGGTGCAGAAACTCAGCACTCCATTTTTTTAATAATGACACTTTAGGCTATTCATTCTCAAGTTGATTTGTGTCTCTGACATCATAGGGTGGATGCAGGATGGAGAGGATGGAGAACGTTTCAGGAGTGATTTGTGATAAAAAACGGTGTCAGCAAAGGTCAAAGGAAACGTTTACAAGACAGAGGTGAGACCAGCTGTGTCGTGTGGTCTGGAGACAGAACTGGAAGTGGCAGAAATGAAGATGTTGAGGTTCTCGTTAGGAGTGACAAGGATGGAGAAGATTAGGAATGAGATCATCAGCGCACAGGTTCGACGACTGGGAGATAAAGTTAGAGAGGCCAGACTGAGACGGTTTGGACATGTCCAGAGCAGGGACAGTGGGTATACTGGTAGAAGAATGTTAGAAATGCAGCTGCCAGGAAAAAGACAGGAGATATATGGATGCAGTTAGAGAGGACATGGAGTTAGGACAGAGTGATATACAGGATGACTCACTGCAGTGACTGATGAAGAGGGAACAGCCGAAATGTCTGACATCATAAATGACATTTTACTCTGATTTCTGACATTTCAAGCTTTCTGTGCAGTCCTTTTTATGTTCTAATCTTTTAAATGACTTCACCACTTGTTACTCCCCAAACATTGCAGAGAGATTTATTTATTTGTCATTCGCGTCCCATGTGGTACATGTGGTGGAATGAGGTTATGTACGCAGGGTCCCAATTACATCCAACAATAAAATGTAAAGGAAAACAGTAATAGGATTTAAGATATGAACTAAAAAAAACTTCAGCTAAATATACACTAAGCAATAATAGCATAAAAAGAACATTACGTCAAACAGCAGCACGAACATGAGTCTGTGTGAGCAGATGAGCACGCATGAACACAGCGACATGAAACAGATCAGCAGCAACATGAAACAGATCAGCAGCAACATGAAACAGATCAGCAGCAACATGAAACAGATCAGCAGCAACATTATGTAATTTTTTCCACAGTGATTATTCTGGTTAGAGGTTCATGAGTCTAACAGCCTCAGGGTAGAAGCTGTTCCTCAGTCTAGTGGTTCTACACTTAATGCTCCTCAACCTCCTTCCTGAGGGGAGTGGGGCAAAAAGTGTGTGTGCTGGGTGGGTGGGGTCCTTCATGATGCAGGTGGCCCTCTTCCTGCATCTGGAGGTGTAGATGTCTGTGATGGTGGGGAGACTGACTCCAACAGTTTTCTGTGCAGCCTTCACCACTCTCTGCAGAGCTTCTCTTTCTGCAGCTGTGCAGCCTCCATGCCACACGTTGATGCTGGCACACTGGATGCTCTCCACTGCACACCTGTAGAAGGAGGTGAGGACTGAGCTTCCCAGACCAGCTCGCCTCAGCCGTCTGAGGAAGTAGAGTCTCTGATGAGCTTTCTTGATCAGACTGGTGGTGTTGCTCCAGCTGAGGTTGTCATTCATGTGTACAGAGAGATCTTTACTTTTAATTACCTAAAAAAAATTGCTATTTTCCATCTGCAGTCTGTAAAACAAATGCACTGTATCCCCACTAATGTGACATGTCAGCAAAATCTACAATTTTAAAGTTTTTTTTATATATATATACTCTATTAATCTCTAATGGGGAAATTAATTCTCTGCATTTTCCCCATTGCACGGGTGAGCCTATGGAGGAGCCTCTGACCTGGTGCCTAATGATCTACTATATGTATTTTCTGATCATCCTAAAAGAATCCGTAATTTTAACGGTCAAGCAAATTAATTTTACTTTAAGTAGGGCTGTGTTTTGCAATAATATGTATTTTCGAGTATAAAATGTGAAAATGACTCATTGTGTGTGCAATTTGTTAGGGGGAGTATGTCCCAGTATTTTATCTCAAAATGTAGAAATCAAAAAGTGGAGTTTGAATGATTAAATGTGTGTACTCTGTGTGCAAAACCAGTGAAATAAGGGGAAATGTCTGCTGACCACAGCCTCCTCACGCCCCCTAACATTCGTGTGTAAAGTCCGCCTTGTTTGTAGTGTTGCTGTGCAGATCCCGGCGCATGCGCAATTCATTGTTTTGACTGAAAATGCCGTCGGTTTCGAAAACGGCGGCCAATGCGTCTCCTCAAACCGAGAAACCTTCCCACTATACGTGAGTAACGCTGCTGCACTGAATCCATCAAGTCGCCCCGTCGCCGAAAATGCGAGTTCCGCCTGCACTTTAATGCGTTTGCATTTTTGGCATTCCTTAACTCTTTGTGTGTGCGTTAAAACATGGTGCTTTTCCTGGCTTTGTACCATTTGGCTGCTAACAACATTGCTACGGGACGGAAATGCGAACATTCCCATTTACTTTATTCGCAGTCGCAATCGTTTAGGTTTGTTTCGCCCAGTTGAAGAATGCCTTTAAACCGTGTATTTGTTATCATTCCGTTTTGTTAGTCTGCTAAACGATTAGCCAGGAACTCGCTAACCAGTCTGCTTGTAAATAGCTCGGCCTTCTTTTAAGTTCCTTCTTTCTACGCACGTTTACGCACGTACGGCCGCATGTTTTGACTTCCCGCTAAGGCAAAATGCTGCGTAGTTTTCGCTGAGAATACCGAGCTAACCGAATCCATGGAGGGCAGTCTCCCGACGCTTTGTGTGTAGCTATTTTAAACTCGGTTAACGGCTCCATTCGTCTGTTATTCTTCACGTTGTTTTCAGCTACTTGAAGGAGTTCAGGACAGAGCAGTGCCCGTTGTTCCTCCAGCACAAGTGCACGCAGCACAGACCCTTTACTTGCTTTCACTGGCATTTTCTTAACCAGCGACGAAGGCGACCCATAAGACGGAGGGACGGCACCTTTAACTACAGCCCGGACGTGTACTGCACGAAATACGACGAGACCACAGGCATCTGTCCCGATGGAGACGAGTAAGTCCCCGTTAAAAATATATAATGTACTTATGCAGCTGCGAGCAAATAACATGTTTAGGTTGAATAAATAAAAACCATTTGGAGCATCCGTTTATTGACAACTTTCCTTTTATGCGTCCAGTTAATGTAAACATGGGTTTTCCTCATTTGAGGCAGTGGATTTACAAACTGGGAATACAGAGATAAATAAAACCATGGTTGGATGACATTTTATCATAAGGTATGTTAATTACATATGAGCTCATTTGAGACGGGAACCGTTAAAAGGTGTGTGCTGCAGTGCCCGGTAGTCCCTCGCTGCATCGCGGTTTGTTTATCTTGGACTCGCTCTATCGCGGTTTTTCAAAATAACATTGGACACGATGCACAGTTGGCTGATTGATGGATGAGCTGCAGGATCAGCATGGAATTTTTTATTTAAAATAAATCATTTCAAACTGCAGGAGGAGCTTCCTGCTGCAGCTGATCAGCTGTTCCCAGTGCAGAGCAGGAAAAGTGGGCGTGGCCAAGACCGATTGCCGGTGACAGAGAGGGAAATCATGACTCTTTTAGATTGTTTACAGCAGGGGTGTCAAACTCACTTACATAATGGGGGCCAAAATTTAAACTTTTTTTCAAACTAAGGGCCAATTTCAGAATCTACATTAATTCAAATCAGATACCCAGCATCTTTTCTGGGCCACAGGTTCCTCAACAAGAGTTTGACTGGTCTCATTTGATGTTCTATGTTGTGCTTTCGACATCATAATCAAAGATTACTGAAAAAAATTCACGAGATAGAAGTATTTTACGTGTCACATATCATCTTGGGGGCCAGATAAGACGTCAACGAGGGCCACATTTGGCCCCCGGGCCTTGAGTTTGACACACGATTTAGAGTTTAGAAAGTGTGGCAATGGTTTAAAACGCCTTATACACTAAAATAAACTACTACTTACTTGTACTGCTATTCCTACTATGCAGTTTTTCACTTATCACAGGCCTTCTGGGTACGGATCCCCCGCGATAAACGAGGGACTAGTGTACTGTAATTTTATTGCAACCATCTTATTTACATCTGAGGAGACATTTGGCTTGTGGGGCAATATTTATCATTTTGTCTGACGTATAACAGCCTTTTGTTGCTTGCTTTATTTTTGAAGTTCAGCAATATGATTCTGAATTATTTTTGGTTTAGCTTGATTAAACTCTTTTTGTTCTGTGTACCGATTCTCCTGCTGCAGCTGTTTTGCTTGAAAATGCACATGAAATATAATTTATATCAAAAGATTTATGTTAAACAAAAAAAAAC